TACGATATTTGTTGCCGGAAGAAAACGTTTGGAGGAACAGTTCTGAGAATCGCTCTTCCGCGAAATCGTGTTACCATCTTCATTTGGTAAACAGGCTGAATACCAAACAAGAATCAGTTATCGCTCAGATTGGCGAAAGTGAGTTTCGTTTCAAGTGACGTTTGCTTCTTCGTGTGTTTTGTATCGCTCAACTTTTCGTTTTAAAGTTTATTGCTAGTTATGGAAGATAATAGAAAGGTGATAGCTATCAGTTAATCACTTTGATCTCCACTCTGGAACTTCAAGTAACAGATAACAAACTTGTGGTTTCTAACAATCAATTACATCAGTGATAGCCAAATTCTGTATACACTAAGACTAGTTTAAAACGTGTGCTGGATAAGTCTATTTATCAGATATTACTTATGTGTATTTTCTGATGTCTGCATTCCAATGAAAATTTTATAGCTCACTGGAAAATTGTGACTGGTGAAAGCATTTCTTGACTAATTTATTGTCATAATTACTGTTCTGTCCATAAATATAAACAAACAAACAGAACCCCCCCAAAAAAAACAAGACTTTTTTATGACAAAAATCTATATGGGTGATTTTACACCCTTACAGCCAGCAGATACTATTCAGCAAACTGAAGATTAAATAAAGCATCTGAATACATGAGCAATCAGACATGTGCGAGTTGTTTACTGTCCCATAGAACACTCGGTAATATACCTAAAACACATTAATTATACCAACTCTAGAAATTAGAAGGTGCAGATCATGAGTTTGCTTTATGTGATTACGGCAAAGCTTCGAGTGATATCTGCCTAACAGGTGTTGGTGTATTGTTGGTGTATTGAGAATACGGCAAAGCACTCTAGGGCTATCTGCCTAAGGGGAGGGATGCCTTTCGTGGAGGACTTTCTAAGGGAAACTGGCTCGTATACATTTCTCTGCCTAACAGGAGAGATCCCTTTGTAGAAGGTTTTTTAAAACTGGCTCGTATACCAATTACAAATGGGGAAAACCAAGAAAACGCCCATGTAACCAGCCCGTTCGCGGCATTCTAACTTCAGACAGAATTACCAGAGTTCAAAGACGCTTCGGCCACTAGTAGGCCCGTGCACATAATTGAAAAGTGCAATTCATTATGTAAACACACATGAAAGTGATAATCAGTTGTGCACTATTTTAAGTAATCAAATGTTATAAATGCACGGTTGCTACATCTATTATTATTTATTAGTCATGTTTATATTACGTAGATCATACATATGATATAATTATGAATTAACCCGAAAACAAAATGTGTACACTCTTTAGTACTCAAATGCTCATCAATTATTTTTCAATTGATTATTACATATCCATAATAATTTGCAAAGGACTGATGACTACATTTGCTGCCAATCGCATGATCGTTAAATGAATTAGAAGTAACTTCAAATAAACGTTTTGGCAATGTTCATTTTTGTATTCATACATACATATATATACACATCTAATAAGTCATATATTTACATTCAGATAGAGAGATGCGATGGTTTAAAAGTTGTTGATATATATTTACTAGTATTGATGTAATGAATAAGATTTATATTAATGAATGTATATATAAATGTTTTTCATCATCCATAGTAATAAATCCATAAATTTCCACTGTTTCAATATGTAGCATTTACAATAAAAGTATAGTTTCTAATGTATTTATAATCCAAAAAGTATTTCATTAATAACATGAAAATAATAGAAATATTTAATGAGTATTGTCATTATTACACAAACTATGCTTTTCTTTTATATGCATCTTTTACGCTGTTTAAAATGTGTCACTGATTATGCAATTAACAATTTAAAAGATAAGTAATTAGGATAAAAGCCGCGCATATACAAACGGATTTTAAAAAGTTATTCAACTTAAATTTAAGAAATAAAGTTCTATTATATAACAGTGATAATACACGATCAGCACGAAATACGAGAAATTTGGCGAACTTTTGGCGACGAACAATTTGTAAACAAATCCGAAATGCAAGAAGTTCGTAAAATACTGACAACTCTTAAATTTCCACGATTATATATTTAATTAATATATATACATTTTTAAAATGACTCAGGCATTTACATTACAACAAAACAGCAATAATTAAATGGGCCTCTATTTCCACCGTCCGTGACTTCACAGTGACCATCGCCATATTGAAAGTTACCCGTGATCCTTCAGAAGCAGAACTTTCGTCTGATTGGTTGAACGTACGAGGAACACGTCTCCAGACGGAACATTTTCGGGAAAGTTTTAAAATGTTGCTCGTAGCCGGGACATTTTACTCCTAGCTAGACGAAACAATTCTCGGAAGCCTCCCGCTTAAAGCAGTGCTACTAAAATCTCGTTTCTCGAAATTGTCCCGCGTAGCCGTGTGCGTCCCTAGAAGTGATAGCCTCTTTACAATTAAAGTCCCAGTCACATTATGTTTCGGTTACGCGGGATTTGACGTCGAAAGGGACAATTCTCAGAACCCGCACACTTCCAGGAAACACACGTAGCTAGGTTACATTCTCACTTCCTCAAGACTTGAACGCAAACAGGAATCGATTATCGCTCAAATCGGGATCACGGATCCTTCAAACAAACTTCGTCTGATTGGTTGTCTTTACCCGGGACCCCAGACATTTTCAGTGAGGTTTGAAAAAATCCCGCGTAGCCGCAACATTGCTTCCGTAGCTAGGCGGGGCTTCGCTTCAGGCAAGGCTCTTTTTTCTAGGAATCCTCTCTTTTAAACCAGTGCTACCAGAATCTCGTTTCTCAGAAACGTCCTGTCTAGCAGGAATTGCAGCCATGTGTGATATAACAGAAAATTTAATCTACCCCAAATTCTACTATAAACGTTTTTGGAGACAATCAGTCAACCTTAAAACTTGTAGAATATGAAAAATACAACTCGCGTACGAAACACATTCATTCAAAATTTTATCATATACGTGACTTGCACAACAAGAACTTTATAAACCTAAGCAAATGGTTACGGTTGGCATATTTCACAAGTGCACATCAGCGTAGCCACTGAGGGAGGGGTTTCGAAAATGGACCAATGAGCTTGTATTGCTCTGTGACGCAAATCTTCGTGCTGTGAGGTATGTTGTTGCATTTTCGCAGTTATAAATATATGGCGTAATAAGTAGAAATCTTGTAGTGCTTTCGTTTTCTGAGTTAATTAATCGCTGACATTTCACTTTCGAGATTTTTATCATGCATTAATATTTGGATTTATGTTCCGCATTTATAGCTCTTTACAGCGAGAAAATGATCAGCTGCAATTATTATCGATATTGCTTTTAAACAAATTGGTTAGAGAATTCATGTGTATAGTTTTTTTTTTTTTTTAATTTTCTTTTTTAGGAACTAGAAGACGGGAAGTGTACAAAAACTAGTGCGTTCTTATTTCAGTGTGCATCTTTTATTTTGAAAGTGTAGATCAGAATAGGTTGTGTATGATTGATTATATCCATTTAAATTAAAATTTATTTGAATAAAGTGAAATATTCGTTGTGAATAGATAAATCATTCGGATGTTAGAGGAGCATTATAAAATGTGAAACTTAAAACAAAATGCAAAGTAGTGAAGTGAATGAATGAATAAAACCTGATAAAATTATGCTGGCTATAGTGTAGAACATCGTTTTAATATAGACTGCATAAAAAGTGCTGACTTCTATTTACAATATAACTGTGTAAATATTTCTCATATGCAAAATTTTATGTAAGTGCATTTGGGCCAGAGTGTATCACATATTTATTTGTCTTATTTATCCTTATGAAGTAATAGGTCGCATGAATATTTTTGCTGAGTGTCCCACTGTGGTGGATTATTCAATTCTTTCAACCAGGTGTGAATCGTTCTAATTGCTTATATTGATCTAACTCGTATGAAAATTTTCAGAAGAAATAGACCATGTGCAGAAATTTGTACGAAAATTGGTGGCAAATATTTCAAAATCTTTGCTTAATCGTAAAGCTCGAAAGGTCATGTACATGACAGAAATATTACGGGGCTCATGGCATCCAGAGGAACTCCTCGGTGGCTACACAGATGTGCACTTGTGAAATATGCTTACGGTTGTCATGACTAAACCAATTAATAAAGCTAAACTTATATTTTTCAGGAATGAATTACAATTAGTTTGAGTCTCCCTAACAAAACAGGGGCAATATTAAAAGAATTTAGTATCCATTTTGCATAATGAGACTCAGAAACCGCGATCAGACATACATAAAAGGCATAAATTCGCTGAAACAGGATTAACTGGGAGCCTTAGCTATTCCACAATCCGTCTTTAATCTTGCAGTAAGAATGCGGCCTAAACTGTGCTAGAGAATTACTTACTCAAACGCTTTAGCGATTTAATGCACACATAATAATTTATTTTTCCTTGAACTTCTAATCGTACGATCTTTGTTGTTAAAATAATTTAAAAAAATCTGAATTATCCTATGTAGTTTAGGCTACTAGTTAGGTGCTAAATCAAAGTATTTCATATGTAATTATTCTAAATTGAGTTCCCAGAAGTAATGCTTGAAATGTTTAGAAATCTAAGAAATTAATAAAAAAAACAATATTAAAGCACTACGTATCGAAAAGGAATAAATAGAAATACCTATTTATTTAAAATCAATAAAATAATTTATTCAAAAATATATAGATATATAAGTAAATTATAAATTTTTCAGCTGTAGTATCTTTTTCATGCAGTTGGCATTAAATGATGATGTAGAAGTAAATGCAATATGAAGCTGCACAAAATTTACATTCATAAATTTGTCTTTAATGTTATCATTATGCATACTTTGCCTTTATTTTACAGCATTTATATTTAACTAACTTTAAGAAATACTTTTGCTTAAATTATAATATTTATTTACAGATTTGCGGGTCATTTTATTTCTGAAATATTTTTCAAGACACGATTATCTCTTTTCTGACAAATAAACATTTGATTATGAGATAAGGAAATTAACTTACCGGGCGGCAGCTCTCAATTCCAGATGAACAGAAATAGTATTCTCGTCCGTAAGCAACTAAACCTGTATGCCAGATACCAGGTAAAGGTTTACCTAATTGAAAATGAAAAGAACCTTGCATAATATAATTTTATTTGATCATTTCCAAATAATTTATATTCATGATTACAGTTAATACCTATCACAAAATATTCCCTCTGAGCGGCACGGGTTTTTGGATCTGTCATGAAGACCTGTATTTATGCAGCACTTATTAGATAAATTTATATAATTACTTATTTTAATCTCTATTTTTCATAAACTTACATTCATTAAGATTATATTTACATTATTAAAGAAAGTAAGAAATCAAAATATCTTAAGTTATAAGCTAATATGCATTAAGTAACAAAACATCTCATAACCGGATAAAGCCAGTCTTGCCATTCAAAGGGTTAAGAAGGAAAGCAAAAATAAAATTCTGTGACAGCACCTTTTGATCAGAGTTTGTAAATTAAGACATGTATCATTTTCATTGAAGAAATTATCAAACACTATCACATATTTATGTAAAATAAATATGAGGAAAGAGAATGTCACTTGGATTTGTGTACTAGCATATGTGGAATGATTTTCTGGAATGTGTTGAGGTCGAAAACCCGCAGAACCTATTTTTAGACATTCCTGCTCCCTTTCGGATTGTTTCACGATTTTGATACTGTGTTTTCTTGCATTATTAGAGAAGTCTACGTAATTGATAAAAATGCCGCTCAAAGTGCTCATTGTACTGGAATACCCCTCACGGAACACAAAACCTTCTTATTTTGCTTGAGGATTAATCTTCATCAAAAAAAGACGTATTCTGTGTTAATGAAATGCAGCCTTTTTTGAAACTTGTGAAAAAAAAAAAAGTGGAGTGGAGAGAGAAAAGAAAAGTGGAAAGTGGAAAGAAGAGGGAAAATATTCTCTCCAGTTTTCCCTTCTTCTAAAATTCCCTTTCGAAGACGAGTGATAATTTTAGAAAGCTGGCAATTTCCCAAAGCCAACTTTTGCAAAATATGGGGACAGCTATTTTGGTCTGTCTTCTCTATCTCTCAAAGCATCATTCTCTGCATGACTGAGAACAAAGAGATGCTAATAAGTTAACTAATTCATCACCAAATGGAAAATAGGTTATAAGGGCATCACACGTGCTAAGAACTAAATTTTTTACTTTTATAGGTTTGTTAAAAAGACTGAGACTTTACACCATGTTTACATTGCAAACTCTCTTTTCTAATTATATATGCAAAACTGAAAATAAATTTTAAATTACCAAAAGTCCATAAAAATGCACACATAATACTTAGTCATAAGATACACAAATCCTAAATGAATGCATTTCATTTTTGGAAACGACTTAAATCGAAAGGTAGAGCAGTTTATAAGCATAACATTGCGTATAGCGTTAGAATTTGAACCTTTATTACAATCCGTCTTTAGGGAACGATCTTGCAGTAAGAATGCGGCCTAAACTGTGCTAGAGAATTACTTACTCAAACGCTTTAGCGATTTAATGCACACATAATAATTTACTTTTCCTTGAACTTCTAATCGTACGATCTTTGTTGTTAAAATATTTTTTAAAAAAATCTGAATTATATATGCGCTCTTAGTACTAAAGCTATGGGCATGACTTGAATACTGTATAGCAGCAGCAGCATCAAGTGCTCCTAGTCAAGCAGTAAGACTGCTACGAACACTGATCTCCAATGTTGGTTCATTGACGTTGTTTACTGCGTAGAACAGAATTGTTGCGTAGGAGTTACATAAAAAAATGAAAGCATAGCAAAAAGGTACTGAGAAAGTTTTACAAGGATCATACGATTAACGGTTAAACAAATATTTTTCTTAGATCAAGTAAATATTCTAAAAAGTAAAAATTTATTTAAAAAAAAATGAAGTCAAAACAGAAACGTTGGAATATTTTAACAAAATTTAGGCATCTTCAGAGTTTTCATTTTAAATATTAAAATAAATCAGTTTGCTTGATGTATATCAATACCACATTTTCGTTTGTAAGGAGAAATTAAACAATGCGTATCTATTATATGACATCCCATTTTACCAAAAGGAAAATCGGCCAGAAAGGCTCGCACTACAGCCTAAAAAGAAGAATTACTAATAAATAGGAAATATACGCTATTCGAGCTAAAGATATTTTCTATTCCAGCAGTAGAAAAAAGTAGAAAATGAACCTGGCTCTCAAATAAGCCGTTTCTGTGAAATTAAAAATAATTTTTACCAGGTTATTAAGTTAAAGACATTTCATACTGATAAAGTTTACAGAAAATTTACTTTTCGAAATCATGGCAAATTATAATATATATTTTTTTATTTCGCTGACTTAAGAATTAAAATTCTTAGGGAAAAAAGTAAGAACGTCTGTCGATAAAAAAGAAATAATAAATGCATGGACTTTTCATAAAACTTTAATGTTAAAACTGTATATTACTGTATATTAAAAACTGTGTACTAAAAAAATATGTACGTATATTTAAGTGAAACTATATTCAATAACGCGATATGTAAAGATTATTCAAAGGTACTTTAATGTTATTAAGCGTTACTTGCATTAGAAGTTTATATACGCGAAATATTTTAGAAGCAAAATCACAATAACTTTCACTTAAAAATTTTATATTGAGATTTTAAAACTGAAATTTTTATACTACACATTCGGTATAAATTAAAAAATATTTGTGAATATATTCAATAGTTATAGTTTTAATTTAAAACAGGGTAATGCCTGTAAAAAGCGCTTTTATGTTCTCTGTTTATTAATGTTTATCATATTAAATATTTATTACTGAATAAAAAATAGTAGTAAATAAATATTTATAGCTGTTTAGGGGAAAATTAATGAAATTTTACCGTGATGGCAAATATTGCGCATATTTACCTTTTAATATCTTCTTGAAAGATTTGGCAAGTTCCTTAGATAAATCGTAGATATATAACAGTACGTCAAAGCTAGTCTCTGCTGCTAAATCAGGGCGATCTAGAAGTTCCCCGTCCATGCTCTTCGTTATCCTAAACACCAAATCAAACCGGCTTTAAGTTCTCCTCTTTTCTTTCGGACAACGCCCTCTCGCGGGGCGAGGATTTCCCAAAAGCCATTTCGAAAACAATCGTAGACAGAACATTTCCATGTAAGAATAAATGTTACGAAAACATGCAATGTGTAAGAAAATAATCCCGTTTAATAGTTCATTAGTCTGAAAACTAAAGCACTTGTAACAGAAGTAAGAAAATTCTTTGGGGTATGGAAACGCTCAATAAGTGAAATAAAAACTACTCTTTGAAAACCTAATTTGTGAAACTGACAGTTGCATTAATTCACAAAAATTTGTCTTTCAGTATGGAAAGGCTGAAGTTTTTATTTTTACGTTTAACAAGTCTAAACAGGTCTAATAAGCCTAACAGTTCAAACGAATTAAAAAAAAAAAAAAAAAAAAAAAGGGTAAAAATATGTAAATAAATAAAAATAACAAATTATGAATAAGTAAATAATTAAAATAAAGGTTCAATTAATAATTATTTATTAATCAACCTTGTGAATAATTGAACTGCAGATTATATTTCCTTCTGCTTTTGAAATTTTGCTAAATTTAAAAGCTTTTTTGATAGCAACACCGATTTGGGCAGCTGAAGATTGAGAAAAGTTGGCATTATATTATGCTCATCTGATTCTCCGGAAGAATAACATTAGAGTCAGAAACTATACGATAGCTATTAACTCTTGAAAAAATATCAGACTGAATGCGACTAGACGACTGGGTCACGAATTCAGAAGCAAAGTAGGTATTATAATTTAGAAGTAAGAACTTTTCTGTAGCTTTGATTAAGAGGTTTGGTAAAAGACTAAGATTTATGATTAACAGATGAAAATTGTAAGTCAAATCGGAAATTTTTAAGTGACTATGGTGTAATTCACGCTGCAGTTTAAACAAACCTTTATGTGTGTTTCTTGTAATGTAATAAAAATTTTATAATTTAATATCTGCCTAATTTTGGAAATACGAACAGAACATTTAAGATTATATTTAACAAGTAAAATTTGGGAATAAAATTTGCTTTTAAAGATAAATAAAAAAAAAGTTTGGTTGGCTCTTAACAAAGCTACCTGCCGAAGGAGAAGATGCTTCTAACGGAAACTAAGTGGTTTCACAAAATTCAGTCATGCAACCAGACCGTTCGCCTGGTTTAGTCTTTAACCGCTCGAGCCACTTGTACCCCTACCCAAAATGTATGGTTAAAAATTCTGTACTCTTCAGGCGCAACAAAAACAGTTATTTTCTGAATGCATGATGAATAAAACCAGAGGGAAAAAGGCCAAGGGTAACATAAAATCCCGAAATAGTACGGAAAAGAGCAAAACAGTTAAAATATTAAGTCTTTGATAAAGACATAAAGGACTTTCGAAACGGCAAGAATTCTTACAACTTAGCCTTTTTAGACTTCACTTTGCTCCGAACACTGATTTTCATATGAAATGGTTGTCACACCTACCAACTTTGAAAAAGTTTCTTTTGTTCTTGAGAAAAGAGAGACATGTGTGTGATCGCCATCGAAATCGATTAGTTTCATTCAAAATTTACGTCAAGGTTGTTTTTTAGCCTAATTTTGAAAGGTATAATACTGGAAAAAGAGACGAGAAAAACAATAGCGTTTAGTATACTCATAACGTCGGCGTGTTTAAACTAAAAGGTTTCAATGAAAGTTTTGAACAATTTGGTCATTGTCAGTCTTGAACTACATGGACATTATTTGACTATCTTACAGGAGCCCACAAAGGATAATAAATTTTGTACAAAGTCTGTATACATTATTTTTATCGTCAATACGTAGTTGAGAAATAGCCGCAGTTAGAATCTTAGAATCCTATTACAAATTTGCAATACAGTGCAATAATACTCAGGCCTGCGCAATAAGTACTCTAAATTTCGAATTAAAGAAATCAGATAGAATCTTGAAACTACGACAAACGCATTCGGCGTAAAGCTAGGATTTAATTAAAAGGTTAAACGAACTTTGGATAGTGTTTTCGATTTTCTTTTAGAATGAGTGAAAGAGATTGCTTAGATAATAATTAGTCCCAACCAAAAGCAAAATCATCGGCCAGTGAACGGATTGCACTCCCGATATCAATATAAATATTGATGTTTTTAACTGATAATGCAAATATCGATTCATAACTAGTTAATATAGAGGATGCACAAGTAACAGGAAAACATGAATAATCCCAAAATGATAAACTAAAATTGCACATAATATACAGGTAGTAAAAATCGAACTGTTCAGATGTTTTAAATGAATGACGTTAAGTACTCTGTTCAAAATAAGGCTTAACCACTTAACGACAGCACCCGAGATATCTTGGGAATAGATGCCGTTCCGATTTTCCTGTGAATCAGTTAACTCGGGTGCTGAAAATTTTACGGATATTTAATGCCATCATGTTTTTTTGGCTGCTTCATTGAAGCCCGAGTTATTTCGGGTAATGTCATGAACCATAATAAATATCTTGTTTTTTTCGCGAAAAAAACATTTTTTTTTCGCCTTACAAAGCTACTTCTAGCTATATCTGTAGCTAATAAAAATGATATAAAAATCGGGAATTTTTGGCATACTTTTTAATATAAATTCGGTCATTAAGCGGTTAATTTAATGCTGTAATGTCATCAAACTGCCGCCCAACCGGTACAGTCCCTGACTGCCGTGCCGAAGGGCCTAGGTTCTCCCGGAGAAGGCATGGATGTTTGTAAATGTATAGTGTCGGTGCGGCATGGCGGCGCTCTAAATATGCGACCAACCGAAAGTCCTCGCGTGTGGTTTGGTGGAAGGGGAGAGGGATGGGAAACCCTCGGACCCGTCCCCCCGGCGTGCTCTCCATCCAAAATTGTGGACGGAATTGAGCTGAATCGCACTGTCACCTGAATGTGCTCAAGGCTGTTGCCAAAGGCAGACGTTATCTAGAGCTCCTTGCCACGAGGAATTTCGTGGGCTTGGGCTGACTACGTCAAACAAGTGAGCATAAGCAACAACAACAACATGTCATCAAACTGGAACTCCTTTACTCATGCAGTCTGTCAGCTTGTCTACGCCTTCCAACGTCGTTAGCTTTGTTACTTCACTTTTACTTCTTCTCCCCCTAAAGTCAAAATATAAATTATGTACTTATACAGCATTAATCATTCATGTCTTTTACCTTTCACACTTTTAACACTTTTATGTTTCCTCAGATTTCTTGATTTTCAAATACCTTTGAAATAGCAAATTATTTCTGCAACAACCGATGCTCTTTCTCTTTATTAGCAGAAACTTGCTCTTTATGATATTATGAATGATAGAATTGTAAAATGTTAACAAACTTATATATTTATCTAGATAAATAAATAAGACTATCATAAAAAATTTAAATACTTTTTCAAACAAACAAAAAGTAAATAATAATAATAATAATAAATTTACAAAAATAAAATAAATTCTGAAAGGAATTCAAATGTCAACTTTCGCCCAAATAGCATCATTTAAAGTTTAATGTGGTTTATCAGTCGAAATTATCAATAGAGATAGCTCAGGTTGAATAGCGAAGTACTTTATAGGATACTAGATGAATATACATTTATGCTAACATGGGAACGTTATATATCTTTTATGGATTTGAAAAATGAAAAAATATATAATGTATTTCATAGTAAGTATTTAATGCTTTTCATTAGCTATATCACGAATTAAATGCAGTTTTATTTAACTGATTCTGATTCAGAAGTTAAAAAATGATCTTAAGAATTGCATTTATTTCCTTTACATAGCTTGGTTTGCTCAACAGTAGCAGTTAGATTAAATTTGAAAGGTAAATATCTTACATTTTGCCAAATGGCAACAGACTTGAATGAAAATAGCGTTTCGAGATTAATAGTGAACTAAAAATCTCATAAAAATACATATAAGAAATTTGACAAAATTTAACAATGTGCTTAAATTTTGACAGAACTTTCCTATTCCAGTTTTTTCATGGATAATTTTATCAGCTGAAGAACAAAATTTATATAATATTAAGAGTTTGTTATATTATTAATAATTGTACTTGTGCACTTATTTTTTAAAAGTGCCAGTAAACGATTTCAAAAACTTTGTCGAAAAAAAAATGGGCAGAATTTAAAACTTATTCTTTGTTAACCTAGCTTCCAATAATGCAGATGATTACCGATGTTTTATTGTAAATCCTGTAGTAACTCCTCTTCTCATCAGAACGTCACTTACAGCTCTCTGTGTACACAATACAATGAAAACAAACTACAATTTTCAGGCTAAATAACTTGACTGTGATAATTTATGATATAAAAAATCTTCCCCCCTCCCAATTGACTTCTGTATCATTTTATTTAGTACATACCTGTAGGCAAAGAAAAAGTAAAAATAAGTTTAAAGAATAATCGAGAAAGAAAAAATATGGAATTTAAAGACTAATCGAAACTCTGCATTTGATTATATTCATTTGATGAGATATATGAGCTTTAACATTACTGCACAGTAAAATCTGCAACTAATTTTAGGATTTATATTAAACTTTATTCCAACAAAAAAAAAATAAATAAATAAAAATAAAAATAACTGTTAAAGGATAAAGAAACAATTTCGCCATAAACCCCTTTCCATTGCAAATCTTCAAGAACTGCGATATTTCCAATAAATAAATTTGTTTAATTTCTACTTTAGATAATACTTATATTTCCATAGCGTCATAGTACTATTTTAATTTTTTTCTTTCCATATCATAGAATATCGCAGCATTATATCTACAGCAATTTCATTTAATGAAAATCTTGCATTTTTTTTATGACTAAGACCATCCCACGCCCCCTTCACCATTACTTTAAGAAATTCTGCTATTGAAAGAATCTGAGTAGATGGACTTTTCCCAGTATGCGTTCTAAAAATAATTTCCTTTCTCCAGGTGCATTTCTCATTTAGTGTTCTTTCCTATTTTATTAAATATATTTTACTATTTTTGGAAAATTTTTTTGAAATACCTGCCCTTTCTTCTAA